GTATTAAATTGGTGGTAATTACTAAATGAACAGTAATTAAGATACAGTAGTTCAGTAGTTCCTATTTATAGTATAATCATTAGGTATAATGTACATCAGTGACTGAATCATTTATTAATATGTAATTACCTGATGATTGGTCCTAGTAGCAGCTGTTGTTGACGAACTACCAGCAGTTACTATAAAACTAACAATTATTATAATATATCCTGTGTCTCATTAAAGACATGATAACATTACTAGTGACAGTAGTGGGAGGAGTCAAACAGTTTGGGAACGACAAACAACTATTAAAAACAATTATTATTAAATACTATTATCACTATTATTAGTACAATGTGATACTATTAACAGATACACTCCTTATAACAGACACCTCCTCCTCTACTCCAGCAGACACTATTGACTAGTGACTGTATGTAATATACAGTATATGAACATTAGCCCATTAGTATCAGCTAATGATTGATCAGTTAATGTGTGTCTCATTATAATGTGGAGGAGGTGACATTATGTTAAACATTAATTGATTTAGTTAGGACTAAAACTAATGTTGTCTTTAACATTAAAACACAACTTACATGTACTTAGTTGTGTTTTAGGCTGAAACACAACGAAGTAAGTTTTAAAATGTAATAAAAATTGGAAATTGCTGGACAGCTAAGAAATTAAGGGTTTATCAATGACTGTGTCATTTTATCAGCAATTTCTTTAAATGCTTCATTTTCCTTCAATGCTTCAATTAAAGTATTTATTAGCTGAGGTTTCCCATCAACAGTAGCTTTAACAGCAAACAGTAATGAAGCACATCTATCTTGTACTGGTCTGCAATCATTCATACACTCAGTAGCAGTAGTATCAGAAATTAACTCTTTAGCATAGAAGCTCATGATGACAGCTGATAGGTTACTTGGGGCTGCCAGAATTTTTGACAGTGCAGCAAAGTTTTCTCGTAGTACTTTTCCTGCTAGTTTCCTCTCATCATCTATAATTATAGTAACAGAACTAAATCAAGAACGAAATTATATCGGGAAATAATATTATACCTGAAGAAATTGGCCCTGTGTTGGAAGCAATAGAACCGGCAGATGCTTGCTGGAAGTCACCTATAATTCATTTAGATTGGGACTGACTCATGTAATAACAACACTTACCCATTGTTAATACAATGTTTATTTTCTCAACGTTGGATTTTTTTATTCCTTGCATTGTGACAGGATAACTTAATTCCTTCACTGTATCTTCACCAGGTGAGACTGTGAATGTAATGAGGCATTTTGGAAAACGAGGAGGAGACATACTGCCATAATCATCTATATCAATCTGCCTAACCTATTGTAATCGTAACACCAAGTTTTAGTATTAAGTGCTTACTCCTGTAGGAAATTGATGAGGTCTAACAGACCATCCTTTGGGACATTGCCCATAATCAAAGTATAACTCAATGAATCCATCATCATCTTTAAACTGGAAGGATACCTCAATACACTCAACAAATTTGAATGTTTTTTTAATATGCTGTATAAATAAAAAAAAAACCTGTAGTAGCAGAATTGGAGCATTCATACCTCTATTAGTGCATTAAGATCTTTAGACAAAAGAAATCTCATCAACCATTCCCTTCCTGGTCTCCTGACTTCATACATCACTTGACCATAGTAACTCTTATTAGGTAATTTATCTACAGGAAAATTTAAATAAAATCATTAACTTGTATAAATAAGCATTATGCTATACCTGCTGAATTCTTTACTGAAATAATCCCCATAGATGAAGCTTCAAAAACAGGAAAAGTTGGTAATAGCAAAAGTGAAGAAAGAGTATGTGTTCTTTCATGATATGATGAAGGGCCTGGGATTGAATATGGCTGATAACGTCTTCCTGAGTATGTTTTAATACAATACTTAGAGAATTTAGCAATGCTAATGCTACCATATCTATTGCCAATAGAAAATTCTCCACCATCTACTGTAATGAACTTGTAAGGTGGCTGATTGTTTGTTGCAGTAGCAAAACTAAGATAATTACAGTGAGAAGATGTTTCTATGGAGACACAGTGCTGTATCTCCAGTTTAACAGGTTTAAGAAATGGTTTAGAGAGGTTTATAGCGTATACTGCACTAACAAGCTCAGTGTCTTCTGGGAATATAAAATCTCCTCCTACAAGAGCAGTGATGGTGACCTGTACAGTATCAGAGGGTAGCACTGCTCCTTGTGGTATTGTTATCTTTATACCATATTCCTCCCAATTAACTGACTGGGTAGATCCACCATGAATAAGAAATGAATTTATTGCAGCAACATGTACACCTTTAAGTTCATCTATAAAAATAATGATTAATATTCTATATAGTACCGTATACCGGTTAATTTTCATGGTAAAATATTTTCGCAAATATCATGGTTTGGTGATCATTCACGAAAATTTTTCACCACAAAATTCTACTCTCCATTGCCACGTGGTGCAGTCTGCACTCTGCAGACAATTTGCAAAAATTTATTCCGCAAAATCTTAGAAATGCAAGATTCACGAAAATTTTCCACCGCGAAAATAAACTGGTATACGGTATATACTAGTGAAAAATTACAATTACTGCATTATTATTGAAAAATAGGCTATTTTAATTTATTTACCTAATTCAGTGGGTTGCACTGTGGGTCTCATAGTAGGTGCACTTGCAAATGATACTTCAGCTCCTAAGAAAATTATGTAATTATTAAAATGTGTCATAATTAATGGCATACAAAGATACAATCACAAAAATACAATCAAGCCAAAGGGAGTGACAGGATTATCAAAAAGTGGGTTGCCTGTAGCTACTGAGGGAGTGACAATTATGATAACAATTTTAATTAAGATCAAGAATATTAATAAGAATAAAGCAAATAACAAAAAGCTATATTATTATAATCAAAAAGCAGTATTTAAAAATAGCTTATTATTTATTATAATCTCACTTATGTATTCCGCAACTGATGTCTCTCCAACTTCACTAACAGCAATGGCTAGTTTGTCCCATGTTGCCTCAATATCTGTAAGCCATTTTGCTAAACATTCTCTGAGACATTGCTCAGCATCTCGTGGATACATAATCTCAATCATCTTTAAATTGTTGTAAGTCAGACCCAAGTAAAGACCAAGATCAAACCATTTGATAGTTTGAAAGGAACTATCTTTTAACACTTGTACAATACCTACCAGATCCCTGATAGTCAATATAACTACATAAATAAATAAAAAATATTGTAAAACTAGTGACAGTGAGTGGTTATTAATACCTTTTTGCTGATCATCATTGTACTCACTGATCTGTGTGGGTGAGTAATTAGTAGCTGGTTTGACCTTTTGAATTGTCGGCTCTATGTATAAAATATTGGGTATTATTTATGAAACAAATTTACACTGCATCCAGTCTACACTCTATACTACTTCACAATAGTCAAGGCAATGAAATTTTAATTGCAGAAAATGTCACTGATAATTACAAAGTCACTTCTGCAGTAAACTGTAAATTCATCCTCCATTTTTCTGTATTTCCTCAATAAAATCAATGAAGAAATGGGTAGGTAGTTGCCTCAACACAACTCACTTTCTGTATCGAGTTTTGTTGGCCTAAGACCCGCAAAAGAAAGTCTAAAGATTCATTTATACTCTTGCAGCAGGAACAAACAAACAATTCCAAATTACTGTATTATAATAGTAAAATAAAAGATAAAAATGAAAATCCCATGATACAGCTACAGTTCAATTCTGTACTAAAGTTACTGAACTAGTTTTGCCACTGATGTAGAATTTTAGACAAACGAATGCCATGTGACAAATAATTTTTGCTTCTTGTATGCAGAGTTACTTCGTTCTCTACTGAGCCAGTAAATGCTGACAGGTGATTCTTTAGGCTTTTTCAGGTCAACAAAAAAGGAAAAAATATTTCTAAAAATATGTCAAGACAACTACCTACCCGTTTCTCCATTGATTTTAATGGAGAAGTGAAACAAAATGGAGGATAAATTTACTATAGAAGTGATATTTTGTAATTAGTGATAACTCTTAACAAAAGTGTCTATTGCGATAGTACATATTATAACATACCTAGCTTTATTGGAGTCAATGGTGCCTTGAATTCTTCAGTTAGTTCAACCACTTCCTATACAATAATGCACAATATGATTTTAAGTGCTTGTATTAATGGTATAAAACAGTTAGTGTGTGTTAATTCTTACCTTAATATCAAGACAATATTTATTTCTAATGTTAGTAGCAATGTGGTGCTTTCCTTCTTTATCCAGTGCTATAGCTAATGATGACCAACTGGGACCTCCTTTCTCTCTCACTTTATCTTTTCCTCTTAACCAGGCAGACATACACTGTCTGAAGCACTTCTTAGAATCTCCATTATTATCTTCATTGATGTCTTCTAGTGTAAGATGATAGAGTCCTAGCTGAAGGCCAAGATCATGCCATATATGGCAAGGTAAATGATTGAGTATTGTTAGCT